TTTATCTGTCAAAGCATACAGAAAAATGGACAAAATTGTAATTTTGGGTCGCTTTTGTTTACAATTCAATCAAGCTGCCTGCAACGAGTTTCGCAGAATATTGTTTCGATGATCATTTTTTTGAGTCTGCTTATTGAACGATAATTGCAAATTATCCGGAAATATGTATTTCGTTTTTGCGAACTATTTCGTACAATTTAGACGACATCAATTTCCAATTCGATGAATTACGATGGGGAATTTTTTTATTTATCGTTCGTGATAACTGCCAGCCAACAGTGAAAATTAAAATTGTTCATTAAAGCCGATAAATGTATACCTTAACCTACCAAAACTTGTAATTAAAATCGTAAAAGTAATAATGTAAGTTTTTAAATGATTTGTTTAAATCTATACTGTCCTCGAATGTTTATTAAAAACATAATTTGGGTTTCAATATCGGTGATGTTGATATATATGGAGAAAATATGCTTCATAAAAACCAAAACTGGAAATATAGAGTGAATTTACTGTTGAATTCTATTTTTTTGTTGAATTCTTTTGTCCGATTTCTTCCCATGCATAGGTACATCCATTCCCCTCTTTACATTTTCTAGTCAATTTGCCTTTTCCCTATACGGATCCTTATTCCACATCATTCAATTAATAAGCGTGCTTTGGCATTTTTAACATATCATTATCATAGGTTTATATTATAAGTGTGCTTTATTTGACACAAAATCAAAGCAAAAAAAATTAGAATTTTGGACAATTTGACTACATCACACATTTTATTAGTAGATGTTTTTCAAAACAAAAAAAATCAAAATATTCAGTATCTGTTATGTGTTAGATCAAAATCGACCTACAAATCAACAAATGCACACTCAACTAAATTAAAATTTCGGTATATCTTACATACAAGACAATACAAGCGTCATAAACTAGTTTGGGTCTCAACAAATAAAACAGTCCTGATGCCAGATGCGTTAACGATCAGTTTTTATTTGAAAAGCAAATTATATTTAATAACATCTATACCTGTAGTTCTCATTCCAATTAGTATGTACAGTTTCTTCACCTTTTTATTTTTCTTTTTCATATCTTTTTTGTTTTTAGATATTAGAATTAGATAAAATTATTTTTTTAAGCTTCTTTTTTTATTATTCCTTCTGCACATTGTTATATTAAATTTGAATGAATAAACTTTATTATTTTAATTATTATTATTTTTTATGAATCAAGCAAAAAACGGGGGGTCCTCGGATACACCAAAATTATAATTGTAAAAAACCCACAAAATAAACTCTCCCTGAATACGTGACTATTGTTTATTTTGTCTAGTCTTGGTTGAGTATTTTCCGAACTGACTGACAGCAGCCGGATTATTCGATCCACCTGTGACATCGACGTTGCGATCTTTTTCTGGCTTTCCTTTGTACAAGGCAGTCAATATGCTTTTGCGTTATTATTTTGGAAACTTTTTATCTTCTTTTGCGCAAACGTCATTCGCAATGAAACAATAAACTTCAAAATTGAATTACAAACTAATATCTCAGCTGCAGCAGCTGAACATAAGCTCCCGGCTAAGCTTGCATCAAACTCGAGATTGCGGTGTCATAACTTTCATTATTCAGAATTGTGTATCAGGTGAAACAACCATCGGAGTGAGCCCGGGTTTATGCAATAAGATGTTTAGGAAGTTTAGCGTTTAAGCTTCTTAACTTCGCGAAGCCGGGTTCCTATCACGCATGGAGTAACTAACACGTTCGAAACAACCCGGGCGAGAGCTATTACAGAAAACGGGGGTTAATAATTTTCCTGTCTATAGTCGGATAAATTAAAGTTATGTGTTGTGCGCCGTACATTTCAGTGAAAAATACAGCTCCGTTTGCAGTTTTGGATTTTATGTTGGGGATATAAATCCGCGGCAGGGGTCGTTAGTGTTGAGGATTCGTTAGGTTCCGATTTCCGAACGCCCCAAATTAAATTAATCTCATTTAACCCTCTTAAATCTATATCCTCGGTTTAATTCGGAAAATGCAAAATTTATGCTACCGACATGCTATGCGCAGCGTGCCTCCTCCTTTCAAAAATTCGTTGTGGATATTAAAGCCATTAATATGAAAACTGTTAAGCTATATATATATATATATATATATATATATATATATATATATATATATATATATATATATATATATATATATATATATATATATATATATATATATATATATATATATATATATATATATATATATATATATATATATATATATATATATATATATATATATATATATATATATATATATATATATATATATAGCTTAACAGTTTTCATATTAATGGCTTTAATATCCACAACGAATTTTTGAAAGGAGGAGGCACGCTGCGCATATATATATATATATATATATATATATATATATATATATATATATATATATATATATATATATATATATATATATATATATATATATATATATATATATATATATATATATATACGGTGGAGACGGAGACAGATCGTTCAGTCCCTTTCCTTGACACAAAGGTCATTCGCACTAGTGAAAATTTAGTTATTCTTGATTGGCATAGAAAAGTTACTAGTTCCGGTAGATACATTCCCTTCACATCGTATCACCCTAAAAAACAAAAGATCAATATGATTGTAGCATTGACTGATCGCATTAAAAAAATTTGTCACCATAGTCTGTTAAATAAAAACTTAATGTTATTAAGGAACCTACTAATTAATAATAAATACCCACCATCGTTAATAAATAAAATTCTCTCCTGTAATAGTGCCACTGCAGACCTGCCTAATGCTTTACAACCACAGCTTAATGTTAATAATGAGTTGCCTAGTTTTGGCAAACTACAGTATATAGATAGATTGTCCCCGGCTCTGATTAGGATCTTTAAAGATACTAATATAAAAATTGCCAATATAAAAATTGCCAAATCTTTCTATTCCAATCTTAAAGACATTACCCCATCGTTACATAAATCAGACGTTGTATATTGCATTAAATGCTCTTGCAATTTAATTTACATTGGTCATACTTCACAGAAGTTAAAAAAACGGCTAACACTTCATAAAAGTGATTGTAAGTTAAAACCAAATATTACTAGTTTAAGTGCTCATGTCAATGATACCGGACATAGTGTCATGTACGATGAAGCGGTAGTATTAAAGAGTGAAAAGAACCTCTTCAAACGTAAGTTTTTAGAGATGTGTTATATTAACTGTTGTAGTAATAGCCTCAACAGAAAGAAGAATGTTGAGGGTCTTAGTAGCATCTACACCTATCTTCTTAATCAGAGTCGTACTGCGAAGCATAAGCTACCTGAGTTTTTTGATACGGTCAGGTTGTAGTGGGTTGCTAAATTTGGTGTTTGGTGTTTTACATATGTTATGGTTGGCTGTACAGTTGGTATCATTGACTGGTTTCTTGGTTGTGGCTTTTTTAGGTTATTGCGAATTGTTAATAAGTTCCCGCACATTTAATTTTCCTTCTCGACAATATGGAGTGTCATTTGTAACAAATCGGCTGTTTTTTTTCATCTTTTAATATTTTATCAATCCGGATATTTTATTGACCTTAACGTTTTATGTTAGTGGGATTGTTTTGTAACGTTGTGGTGGATGTTAATATTTTTTTTATAGTTGTAAATTTCTCCCATTAATTTCATCCATCGAGTGTTATGTTGATAGTTAGAACGGGCGAAACACTTTATTTTATATACCAATGTCATCTCTCTATATGTAGAGGTTGAAAGAGGCGTGTTGTGTAAGTTTTTCACTATTTTTTTGTTAGATTGTTAACTCTGATGAAGTGTTTTTTTGTTCTCTATATGACTTAGTGTCCTGATGAAGCCTGTATCCATGGGCGAAAGCTAGATATTACAATAAATTGCCACTTTGCTTTGAGCTTCAACATCTTTTATTGCTCCCTTTACGGCGATCCATCGAAGTTGGGGTGATCCCAATAATTAACAGTTTGTTTGTGTATATGTATATATATATATATATATATATATATATATATATATATATATATATATATATATATATATATATATATATATATATATATATATATATATTTTAATATGCTATATATACCATATATAGTAACTTATGCAACAAGTCTTATAACCGACACTTTAGTCACTACCGGAGCGAATGTTTTATTAATATTTCTACGAGCGTTGCGAAAAAAAAAAGTTTTAATAATAATAATTTACTGAGTGGCGTGAATGCAGGGCCATCAGAACTGACAAACGCTAAAATACTTTCAGTATATTAGATATCCACCGAAATATTCTATTCGGTCGCTCCCAAACCTGTGACAGTATTTAGTGAAGCTGACATTTTAAAGTGATACCTTACTCATTCCTGATCAGTGCATATAATTGAATATTTTAGACTAATAAAAGTATCATATCTATTATGAATTGAGTTACAACTGGTTGGGGCACCGGCTCAAAGCCTTGTTGAAATTCTTAACCCACTGAAATGTTTACCGTGATTTATTTGGGGCGTTAGTTTCAATAAATAATAAGGAAGATGCCATCACTAGCATGCGGTGATCCCGTTATTTTTTGTGAATATTGAATGAATCTCGACGAATAGTATATTAAATAACCTCAAATCAGCAGGACTTTTCGTATTTTAATTTTTTGTAAGGTTCTGTAATACTTTATCAATTTAATTCTGTATCTCTATTTGAAAAATAGTTTAATCTATTTAAGCTATCTTATAGTTAGTAGCAATTAAAAATTTATACAGAAAAGTGAATTTTATTTATAGCAAGGAAAAACGGCGCCAAAATATAAATAGAAATATAATCAAAATTTTTTGGTGCATTGATAAAACCATTATTAAATTTTGAAAATCGAAAATTGCGCATATAAAGCGACAAAATGATAATTAAAATTATATTTCAGTTCGCCAAAGCAATTCCATCACCGTTTCAAATAATATTCACCCCATCCGTTTGTTGCAGGTGCCAAAACGTTGAAAAATGTGTCCGTGACAGTGCCAGGCGCGGTTAAAAAATTCGACACAGTAACTCTGCAGTGTAAATACGATCTCGAAGGGGAACCGTTATACACAGTGAAATGGTACAAAGGACAGCAGGAATTTTACAGATATATCCCCAAGGAACTGCCGAGCACACAAATCTTCCCGCTGCCTGGAATTGACGTGGATGTAAGTTAACAACCTATCTTCTTGTAGTTATGGAACTCGATAACGTGGCGGGTGAAAAATTTTCATTGTCAGAAGTGGGAACGACTTGACAAAATTATAGGGAAACGTTTAGCGCAATTATTGTTTAGTTTCTCTCAAGTTTTAATTTTAATTAAAACTAAAGTTATAAAAGGTTTTTATCCAGCGAGTTGGCAAAATTAACGTGGTATAGGTAATAATAATAATAATAATAATAGTAATAATAATAATAATATATAATAAGTAACAATTGCACAGTACCTCTGCCTGCCTGCCTAATGATGGAACATTAGTGTATTTCGCACCAAAAATTCAAATTTTATGTTGGAATTGCTGACATGGAAAGAAGAAGAAAAGGTTAGGAAAAGAGAATGATGGCGGCTAAGTTTAAAAATTTAAAAATGAGCACAAATCGCTTGTTAGGTTGTGTAGAAAACAAAAAGTGGAATGAACGAAAAAGATTATTTATTTCTCACTATAGAATAGTTTTAGTTAGTTTGTACTAGTAGATTCTAAAATCTTGTATATAATCAGTCTTTGTTGCCACAACAAATATTTTGAAAATTACTTTTAAGTCCGCGTTGTACTTTATTGCTCTTTAAGCAGTTTTTGAATTAAGAAACTTCCTATATTTTTCATCTAGTTACCCTATTTCTTTTCCTTTTCAATTTATACTACATTTTATACTATTTATACATTTACAATTTATACTATATTATACTCGATTCATGCATTATTTTAATGCCACATGTGTGTTTAATGAATAGGAGAGAAGATCTAGTTTAGAAGTTGTCTTCTCTGTTTTCAGTTTAACCCTATAGGAAGGGTATGTTAGTAAACATAATAGGAAAGAGTGTTTTCTTTTTGTACCTCTCATTTTGTTGCATGCGAGATCGGTTCTGCCATTGTTGTCATTTTTTAACTGTGAATGTTGGACAGAGAGGAAGATATATCATTGGATATGTCATATAAACAAAGGAATAAACACAATTTTAAAACGTTATGTTGTTTATTTAACTTTTCCGATTTATTATTAAGTTTATTTAAAGAAAAAGACTGTAATTGGAAGAAAAATCATCCAAGGATAGAGATTTAAGAGGATTAAATTTTTAAGATGGTATAAAAGCAAGAAAATGCAGGTCCTAACCTTCAATTTTGTTTTTTTTTGTACTGATGAGACATTGTAAAACAACACAACTGTAAAAAACCACTAAAGTCCATGTAAACTATAAGCAAAATTTCTGTGGGAAACTTAAATTATAAATGTCACTTTACTTACTGACTCTAGATTTTAATTGTAGCTTATAGCACGTGGTATATAAATTGTCTGATATATTGCATAACATTTTTGTGTGTATTAGTTTTTGGGTACATTTTTGCAAAACAACATGAATACGTTCGCTGACATGACCATCGGAATTGACAAGGTAATAATGTATTAAGTTATGTTGCCATTTAATAACTCAGTATAATGCAATGGGCGCAAAACGCGAACCGGTGAATCTGTAGAAAGCTGGTTGGTTATAATATTCTAGCCTTTATTAATTTCCAGCATACGTCCAATTAAGATACATTTACATTGAAGCTCCATAATTAGCGGTTAATAATTAGGTACTATTACGAGCTCTCGCATTGATATACTGAGTTCTTTCAAGCTGGAATGAGTTAGTTATATGGAATTGGTAATTTTTTTTTGTTTCAGCTAAGTAAAAGTACCTCTAACGAGGTTGTTCTACGTTCTGTTCAACCAGAGGTGACCGGCAGGTTTAAATGCGAAGTGTCCACAGACGCTCCAGTGTTCGACACTCAAATTGATTCCAGTTATATGTATGTCGTCGGTAAGTTCAAAATTTAGATATATATCTAGGAAAAAGTATGATACTGAAAATTCTTGTTAACTAAAGAGCAGCCACTGTATAGATTGACGTTAAATCTATACTTATACTCAATTGAATGTACTTTGCTTTATTTACCAGCAGTTTTATTTCGTATTGGTTTGTATGGTACCAAGCTTCTTTATATATTTTTTGTGTTTTTTCTGCTTCCTAAGCTTGTAAATTTTGATCACTACTGTTTCTCTGTAAAGGACGGAGCTCCGGGTCTTGTTATTTTTAAAATTTACTGTATTGCGCTTAGTTCGATATAAAGTTCTGTTGCAGGGCAACTATATTCGCATATCGCTAAAATATAATAAAACCAAACTCCCAAGTTGTACGTAAAATAAACTTTCACGGATATTTCTCGGTCGAGTTCGCCACCCGAACGTAACACCGAATATTTGAGGCGGTGGTTTTTGCTAACAAAGTTCCGAAGTGCAAATTCGCATTACACGAGTCCAATTTCCAATATCGCACAACCGCTGGCAATCAGCCCGCGCTAAGTAGGGTGAAAACTATCCGTATGCGAATGCGAATTTCTTCGTGAGCTCACGGGCATAACTAACTAGGCACCCAGTCGTTTAGTTATTGTTTTCGCAGTTACAGAAGCTAGTTGGACCGACGGCCATTTCGTCTTAGATTGTTGATGATATTAATTTATGTAGTGGCTATAGATATAGCTGAATTAATTGATTCATTTATTATTCAATAAAAATAAATTGTTGCAAAAAAAAGGATATTTCATGAAAACAGCTAGCTTTATACAGCCCAATTACTGATAACTAATAATTAGCAAATTGATACATTTGTATTTAAAATATAACGTTAGACACGTTACTTAGTTTTGGTTAGTTAGAGAACTTGTAAACAAGTTATTTCCTCTGTAATTTTGTATCATTTAATTAATAAACAATTAATGGATAAGCCTAGTTAAACCAAAATCCTTACAAGTGATGAGAAGCCAACAAAATCGTAATATAATTTTTTCAGTAGCGCTTTTATTTGCGTATTTGTTGACGGCAGTGGTGTCCCATCCTAATAGGTTTTTTTTTATCTCCTAACGATTATATAGGGAGTGTTTTTTTGCTCTGAAAATTGTTTGATCCTGATTCGCAAAGAAACACGTCCTTTTTGTTACGAAATAATGTTATTTTAATATTTACCAAACATTATTTTGAAAGCGTTGCTCTCCAGATATTTTGAGTTTCTATGGTTTTCTGAAAATAGCGAAGACCTTCCACCGCGTATCTCACGATATTTTTTTGAAACAATTATATCACTATGCCATGGAGGGCGTGCCTTTGAAACTTCTCGAAAGTTATCTGAAATGTAGGTCTCAACTGGTTTTTTTAATAATGAAGTTTCAAATGCTAAATAACTAAAATATGGAGTACCGCAAGGCTCCATTTTGTGTCCGCTGTCGTTTCTCGTATGTGTGGACTTTTTGTCTGATACTGCTAATGCTAGATCTAGCTGAAAGATATTAATGCCGATAATCTTCTTTTCAACCAAGATAAAACCCAATCTTAAAAAATACCGCCTAACTCGAGGTTAGCGGTAGGGAAGAGTGTAATGTTATAGATGACAAATTGCGTGCACACTATACCGATAAACTCTCTAAAGCTTTTGATATTTTTGATAAGAATACTTTGATGTTACACAAAACTTAGAATTACTAAACCCAAAAATATCGTATGCAGTTCCAATATTGTACCACAGACCATCTTTTTCCAATGCAATTATGCATTTGCCGTGCTTTTTTGTTTATTTTATTCTAAATTCATCAAAACCATGGACAAGTAATAATCACTCTTATAATTTTAGGAATCGCTATCCCGATACCTAGAATATCAAAGTCTATTTCTAATTTTTTAAATTGCACTCTGTGTAATAGACTGTCTCTATTAAAATTCTCTACGTTTGTACCCTCTTGACTTGCTATAATTTGCGGAATTGCTACAAATTGAAGCAATTTTGTAACTTCCCAATTGTTGGTAAATTTTAATTTAAAATAATTATAGGTGGGTTTTGTCTCGAGTGATCAAAATTGATCTATTAAACCCAGAAGATTTAGGAATTTTACGAAAGTTCTTTTCATTCATATTCTCGAGTACGGTTTCAACTATGAAATTTTCGTCGACGTTTAAGTCGAAGAATTAAGATCATTTAAGAATTTTTCCTAAGCGTTTTCTTTGAGTCCTGTTTTGCAGAAAATCGAACAGACGTTCTTTATTATGATGATTGCCATTATTAAGATCGGGTGATTTTGCAAATGGATGAACACCTTAAATTAAATTAATTTTTAAGTAGACCGCTATAGATTAAATGTAAAGAATTTTAGAAATATGAAATTTATGTTTCATCGAATTCATTGTTGCTAGTCGAAAAATAATTGTCTGGAAAGGAAAAATTATTTTGGTTGTTATCAGATAGTCGGGCATTCGTGTATTTGAGTTCATTTATAATTTTAGATTACAAAATTTTAGTTAAACCCTGAATCCATTGTTGTGGAACATTATTCAGAAATGTTTCTATTAAGATTTTATATAAAACAAATGCTTCAGCTAGATTTCGCCCTTGTACTGCATGGCGTACATTTATAAATATATCTTAATTCTTACTAAAGACTATTATTATTATTAGAAAAATATTTAGTTTGTAACGAGCTGGTTTACTTAATGGACTATGGCTGGTGCAGTAAAACTCCATTAGGTTTATTAAATATTCCTAAATTCTTGGTTTAAATTTTTATTTAATTAATGAACATCGACTTTAGACGACATACAGACCAAGGCATGTTCTTTACCACAGCGACAATGCGATAAAATTGAAATTGCAAGATCGAATTAAGTGGAGGAAAAACGTAACAAAAATAGAGTTTTAGCGGAGCGAGTGTTTAATAAACGAGTGAGTTAAAAAGTTTACCGAACCTGTTGCATACTATACTTTTTCTACGACCGTTAGTTTTGGGTTCATTTTCGCAAAACAACACGAATACATTCACTGACATGACCTTCAGAATTGACAAACGTCAAAATTCAAAGCGTGGGAAATATCTCCGAAAACATCAGATTGCTCCCAAATCCGTGCGGAAAATCTCGAAAATGTCCGAAGTGGCTCGGATTTGTGGGAAACGAAACTGACGGGGTAAAGTGACGCTACCCACACGCTAGATCGGTGCGTAATTAAAATCTCTGAATACGAGCCAAAATTGTTATTATTTTGCAGAAAATATGCTAAAATTATGAAAATATATACATCAAAATTTGCATTTTTTATCTTCTAACTTGAAACATTTTAGTTATTTAACGGGCAGTTTCGCTTACTGTTTTGCAAAATGCAGCAATCGAGAATGTAACATCTATTTCCCTATAACTCTTATAGTCACTCGTATCTTTGAAACCTCCAAATTTGTGTACCTTCTATAGTGTTGGGACTTGTCAATTAACCACTCCTTAATTGAATTGTCAAAAAACGTTTTAAATAAACTCTTGCAATTGTTACCCATAATTATTTAATAACTAGGTAACCAAGCAGATTTCGTACTGCCTCAATCAATAAATAAAAGACCTAAACTTTTGCATAGAATAATCTTAAAACAAACAAAATGAATCCATATTTAATAAAAAAGCTCTTATTGAATGAAGCATGAAGTTTTATTATTATTTTCGACACATCATGTTGCTTACTTACAAAACAGAGTTTTCCTGAAATACTGGCTATTTATAAGGTATTAATTTGATATTGACAGGCAGGCACTGTTATGATACACAGTTATTCAATTTAAAGCTTTCTCATAAACTATATATATTTTTTGTTTTATGGTGAGTAAATAAACAAAGAAGACGGTTTTCCGACTTGCGAACACGCGACCTATATATGTCCAGGGAAACTCCAACTCGATTCCGCAAACTTCGAAGGACTGTCCTTGTGATTTATTCATTTATTTATGATATTTATCATCTCCTTTGTATTTTCCTTTTATGATTGTCGCCTCAATGACGTTATTCATCGGCCCTTTCGCAGCGAGTCTTGTCCTATTGCATAGTGGAGGCTGATTAAAGTTACGCAGCATGATGACAACTGATCCCTCTTACTTACAATTTCAGTGAATTTAAAAACTCCGTGGGATAGTTGTCTACGTCATCCTGATTCATAACGGTGTCGACTGATTTGAAGGAAACCAACTGTCCTGGATGAAAATTCTGAATAGTAGCATTGGGATCCTCGACCTCTTTATTTTTCGCCCCCCCATATTGCTCGTTACCCAGCCAATTATGGTTGTTGAATAAGATTCCCTTTTGAGTCTGTGATGTGACAGAAATCTGTTGTAATGTGATGAATCCGGTCGAGGTGTCCTCTGAAACTGTATTATTTCCAATGTCTAACAACTGCTTTCCAAACATATTTGCAGTTTCATCTTGTTGCAAAAATACTTACATGTTAGTTGTTAATTGGAGTATCTTTGCATACTGTAACAAATTCGAATAACTGGAAGAGTCTGACCTACCAAAAATATCTTGGTTGTCATGAAGATCTTTCAACGTTCTGTCCAGTGTCTCCAGTGATCTCTTATCGGTCATTAAACAATTAATTCGCATACTTATAGGACCTTGGGCATTGCGCTAATTTTTGCGATGTTGCGCTATTCCAGTTGAAACCAACGCTAGAGCAACATCATTTCGCGATCTGATCCTTGTAAAAAGCAATGAAATTAAGAACGTTTTTCCAGTTCCTCCAGGAGCATCAAGGAAATAAATTCACAGCTTCCAAAGTATGAAGTAAATTATTATGATTATGTTATAAAATAATTCGGACCTTCGTTCTATTGGATGCAAATTCTCCATTATTCGACGCTACTTTTTATTGAAAATTCTGTTACCCTAAACACTTTACCGATTGGATTGAGTTAACGCATTTCCATTTGTTATCGTTTTGTTATTGTCATTTTTGATTAACCA